TTTTGAACAAGGCGAATCGTCTAAAAGCGTCTCACATTTTCCCGAAAATAACGTAAATTTAAGGAGGAGTGAAAGAGTTAAAAATCATCCTACTCCCACTTATAAAGAAGATCTCGATGATAATATTAACAATGACATATACAGTCATTTGCTCTATGCAAAGTCCCTTTCCAATGCAATACCAAATTCATTTGATGAAATAAAGGCAAGGGATGACCGAGATCAGTGGGAGCTAGCTATAAAGGATGAAATTGACTCCCTCCTTTTAAATAAAACATGGTCAATAGTCGATAAACCCACAAATAAAAACATAGTAGGTTGCAAGTGGGTATTTACTACAAAAATCGATGAACATGGTAATCCAGTAAGATATAAGGCAAGACTGGTAGCAAAGGGATTTAGTCAACAATATTTAAGTGATTATAATGAAACCTTTGCGCCAGTTGCACGAATATCTACCTTTAGATTTCTATTGGCATTTTCAAATCAGTATGATTTATTAGCCCATCAAATGGACGTAAAAACTGCATTTTTAAATGGCGTCCTAAAGGAAGAAATATTTATGCAACTTCCAGAGGGTATTAAAGCCGATGCCAATAAAGTATGCAAATTAAACAAGGCTCTTTATGGCTTAAAGCAATCCTCCAGGTGTTGGTATGAAAAATTTGATAAAACAATGAAAGAGCTCGGTTTTAGAAGTTCCTCAGTTGATCCTTGTTTGTACTTTCTTAACAAAGGTAATATTAATAAAAATTTATATGTTATACTTTATGTCGATGATTTAATAATCTCAACAAAAGATATGACTACAATGTCAAAATTTAAATCATATTTAATGAGTAATTTCCATATGAAAGATTTAAATGAAGTAAGGCTTTTCTTGGGAATAAGAGTACAGAGAAACAGAGATACAATTACTCTGGATCAGACGAATTATTTGAAATCTGTATTAAATAAATTTAATATGGCTGAATGTAAACCAGTTTCAACCCCACTAGAAAATAAATTAAATTATGTTGAATTAAATATTGATCAGCCTAATTCGAACCTACCATGTAGAAATCTAATAGGATGCTTAATGTATGCTATGCTGTGTACACGACCCGACTTATGTATAACTATAAGTATATTAAGTCGCTTTCAAAGTAAATGTAATGAAGAGCTTTGGAAATGTTTAAAGAGAGTACTTCGATACATACAAGGATCAATTGATTTGAAATTAACTTTCAAACGTAAAAACTTTGACAATATGCTTGAAGGCTATGTGGATTCTGATTGGGCTAATAATGAGATTGACAGACGAAGTACGACCGGGTATTTATTTAGGGTCTTCGAAAATTGCACGATTTCTTGGAATTCGAAAAGGCAAATTTCTGTTGCCGCTTCATCAACTGAAGCCGAATATATGGCTCTTTTTGAATGTGTGAGAGAGGCAATTTGGCTCAGAAGTTTATCAGATAGCCTTAATTTAAACATTTCAAAACCCATTTCAATTTTTGAAGATAATAACGGTTGTATAAGCATCGCCAACAATCCTACGAACCACAAAAGAACCAAGCATATTGACATTAAGTATCATTTTACACGGGAACAGATCATACAAAATAAGATATCAGTTCAATATATTTCTACAGGTGAACAACTGGCTGACGCATTTACAAAACCATTACCAGCAGTTAAATTTGTCAATGTAAGGAATAGTATTGGACTAGAATGAAGTTGATTAAAATCGTTACCTTTCCAAGAACACTTTATTTATGTACATATATTTTTTTTTTGATAATTTAGTAAGTTTTTTTTTTTTTTTTGATTGTTATAATTAGATTAAAACCATATTTTGCTAATATTTAAAAAATGCATATTGTATACTTAATTTGTAATTAATATATATTCGCAATTTTTGTATCATAATAAAATGGTTCAATTAACTTAAATGTACATATGATAGCTTTTAGGATTATCTATTATTATTATTATTTTTCGATCTTGTTTTTGAGTGGGAGTGTTGAAATATGTATCCGAAAGGATAATATAATATACAAAAACAAATCTACCTTACCAGGAATCGACCTGAGAATTGACAAAGAGCAATAAACCCAAAAGGTTGGTATTTATTGCCTTATTTATTTATTGTACTTGGGTATTACTTTTTGCGTTGTAAATGTATTTTTCCCACACCCCGAAAAGGTTTAGGGTGTGAAGATGAAATATAAAAGCTAAAGTTAAGTTAGTCGTTCTGTTATGTTTTAAGACGAAACATTGAAATATATTATCGTGCCTTAAAACGTATCTATCGTGTTTTAATTAAACCACTGATAACCTGAAATATTTAATAAAATCCCCAAAAATAGTTGTGTTATGAATTCATAACCTTGTCCATAACACCACTAGTTGTGTTATGAATTCATAGCCTAGTCCATAACACAACTAGTTGTGTTATGAGCCTCATGACATAACTCAAATACTGGAAAAATAGTTATGTAAAATCGTCATAACCAAACGCTTGTAGATAAAAGTTGTTACGCACCTCCTCTTTTGAACCACCCTTGATCATTGACATAAAAGTCTAATGCCACCTCAGGCCGCAAACGCTGATGTAGCTGCGCACTTATCACTGCGCATGGGTTATTACGTCACATACCCTTTCACACTTCCGTCCCATTTCCTAGAATTTACCCTCAAACCGCCGGTATAGATGTTCACACATCAAAAATTGAAAAACGTAATATGGTTTACTATAAATCAGTTCAGCGTTTGGTTGGGTTAGCCAAAGTCTAGAGTTTATAAGAGCTCAGAGTTTTCAAATCTACGTTCTCCGACACATCGTCACAGTGCATAGAAAAGTTCAAGATTTTTCGAACAGCGGAACGAATGCTACGCATCTGGAGTGCGATTTTCGAAACCATTCGAATACATTTCGTACAAGGATGATACACACTACTACTACTACTACAGGATGGCCTATCCTCATAAGGCCTGTGTGTAACAAATCCCCCCCTACCTCCCCACGCCAAACAACCAGTTATGACGTAAGCAGCATGGCGTTTCTCGCCTTTGACGTAGGCTGTTTAAACAGCTGATGACTTAGTTATGACGTCGGCAGTGGTTGAAAACAATTGAAAACCAATATGGCGGCGATTATTAAAAATGAGGCCGATAAGCACTCCTTAAAGTGTGTATTCTCCTTGCATTTCGTATACGAAATTTGACTGACAGCCATATAAAATCGAACCCCTGTACGCTACACAAGAAATGCCAGAAAATTGAAGTCACAGTTTTTACAGAAATCACGAAACAAGTCAGAGCGTTTTTTGATTGGTGTAAATCAGCAACAACCAGTTTTCTTGACTGGTTAAAGATTTCTGTAGAAACAGTTCTCATCTTGTCTAGAAATGTACGTGTGACCAAATAAATATGTACTTAAAGTCAAATAATTTCACTCAGTAACTCCAAATATATTCGAAAACAATGAAAATACCTGGGTATATTGTATTCGAGTATAAAAGGATGTACTAGCGTATTTTGAAATTTACTCAGTACAATAAAATGTACTGGGTATTTTTTATAATTTTCAAGAGTTCGAGTACAAGTAGGTACAATTACATGATGATTCACAAAGTATCGTGGCCTGGATACCAAGTAACTCAAAATGTACTTAGAGTAAAAGTGAAGAGTACTACTACCTGAGTACCGCACAATGCAGCCTACAATTGGTGGCAACTCTCAAATAACAAAAACACTAAAATATTACCTGCAAATCGCTTGCGGACGCGTGAAACTCGGCTGGCGATAGATGTTTTCAGGTTCTCGTTTTTCGAACTGTTCGCGAACCATCATGGAACTGCGCAGAATCAGTCCTTAGATCTGTGCTAGATCGTTTGGAATTAATCAGAGTTTAAAAAACCCGAACATGTTTTATTTTATTTTTTCACAGAGCAGGCAACAAATTCTCTCCGAGATTTTTGCCGCCCTTCGATTTTGCCGCCCCGTGCAGAAGCACAGGCTGCACAGGTCCTGGAGCCGGCCCTGAAGTAATCTAGCCCAAAGTAATTGTAAATGGCTTTTCGCCCTTTCTGTCTGTTCCAGATCTAAAACCACTTTAATTCGAGGATCTAAAAATATTCCTGCTAGTACAAGGTCATTCTCCAGCAACTTTGCTCCCCTTAGTTTAAGATGTTTCACAATTATTCTTGCGAAATTGGATCCGATTTTTTCAGTCATAAGTTTGCACTCCTGCCAATACCCATAAAAAGGACCAAGTGTTGCTAGTAACGCGTTGAGTGTCAGGTAAAAGTATTAGGTAATCCTGAAACTTCTAGTGGTATTCAAAAGGTTATACAACGAACTAAACTTTAATACATTAAAATTTAAAAAAAAAATCTATAATAGAATTTGTTATAAATGCCACCAAACGCGATAACCTCAAAAGGCTTATCACTTCTTAAACCTCTCGGTCTCGTGTCATATGGGAATAATGTACAGGGTGGGCCAATTTGGACACTTTCTTATGGAAACACCCTTTATTTTTAGAGATAGAAAAAAATGAACCCCCCACTGTGAGGCTCAAATTTCATGAAATTTTGATTGGTGCAAACCGCATTTTGATATCTTCAACCGTTTAGCCGCTAGAGGGCGATTCTCGATTTTGAGCAATAATCTGAAGCCTTCATAACTTTTTTATTTATGAAAATAATTGATTTCCGTAAAAACTTTCTAATAGCACTTTTTCAAGCAGAATTCAGTGACGCTCTCAGTTTTTTTCTATTGCCAAATAGTGCAATGGTACAATATACAATAGTATAGTATAGGTACTTGTATAACTTCGAGGGCACAGTTACTAGGTCCGTGGATACGGGTCATAGCATAGGGTATATCATCAAAAAATCACACATTTCTCAACAAAATAAAAAATATTACTGAATTGGTCCCCAAAACCTTCTTCCCACTTCCATACAAATAAATGGCTCAAGATTTTAGACGTTCCTTGTTTTTTATTTTAGTATGCTGGCAACATGCTTCGTTCAGCCTCTCGATCTGATAAAAAACCGCATGCAACTTGCTGGTCAAGGAGGAGCAAAAGAGCGCACGACCACATTAACAGTGTTGAAATCCATCGTCAAGAATGAGGGTGTTTTCACTTTGTACAACGGCCTGTCGGCCGGACTCATGAGGCAAGCCACCTACACCACCACGAGGCTGGGTATCTACACTTGGTTGTTTGAGAATTTTTCCAAAGACGGCGTACCTCCTGGGTTCGCTACTAAAGCGGCGCTCGGCATGGCGGCTGGAGTTTGTGGAGCTTTTGTTGGTAGGTGTTTTGATTAGTGATGCTTACTTTGTTTTTCAATAAAAAAGTTGAAATTGGGCCGTCACGCTCGGCTTTGTAACGTTCATTCGGGTACGGTCGGAAAAGGAAATTCAAGAACTTGGAATAAAAAAATAGGTAAAGAAAATTAATAGCTTCAATGCAGCTCTGGTAGTTTTGTAGCTGCAACGCTTCAAAGTCAAAAAACTCAAAAGGAGCAAGCAGAAAGATTTTTTTAGTCTCAAATTAAATATCTCTCAATATCATTTTTTGAAAATTTGATTTTTTCCAAAATGACTCCGACATACATTTCGCCTCACAACTCGAAATAAACATATAGGTTCAAATCACATAATTCGGGCCAATATTAAATTCTCTTCTAATCTATAATTATTATTAATAGTTTCACAAAGTATCTCGCTGAAGAAAATCCTCAGAATTATGAAGATGTTTAGCCTAAAGGTTGAATTGGTTCATTTTGCATGTTCTTAACCAAATTATCTTTCTAATTCGTCATTTATTACAGGTACTCCCGCAGAAGTAGCTTTAATTAGAATGACAGCCGATGGTAGACTCCCACTCAATGAAAGAAGAAACTATAAAAGTGTATTCGATGCATTGTTAAGAATCTACAGAGAAGAAGGTTGATTGACACATCCACATTTCTGAATCGGCATTTTCTTGACATTATTAATTTATAGGACTCCTAACTTTATGGCGAGGAGCCATACCAACCATGGGCAGAGCCATGGTAGTCAACGCCGCTCAACTTGCTAGCTATTCACAAGCCAAACAGTCGTTGGTGAAAACAGGGTATTTCCATGAAGGGATTTTCCTTCATTTCTTGGCCTCAATGATTTCGGGCCTTGTTACTACTACTGCCAGTATGCCAGTGGATATTGCCAAAACTAGGTAAATAAATACTCTTTTGAAACAAAAATTGATCAATATTCATTCTGATGATCAAGTTTGGCTGAATCTTTTTTCTGGTTATTTTTCCTGGGTGTGGCAAGATGGAAGAGTCTGCTGGTTTTTAAATGCTGTACAATTTAGATTTTTAAAATTAAAGACTTTCAAATATAGGTACTTTAAACAAATAATAATTTCATAAAATTTATCTCTAATCTAGAATCCAAAATATGAAGACCATCGACGGTAAACCGGAATTCAAAGGTCCCCTGGACGTCCTGGGTAAAATCCTGAAAAACGAAGGGGTATTCGCTTTATGGAAGGGCTTCTTCCCTTACTACTTCCGTTTGGGACCGCACACTGTCTTGACGTTTATTTTCTTGGAACAAATGAACGGCAGCTACACTAAGCATATTTTAAAGCAAGAACCTAAAGCAACTTTATAAGAAAAGGCAACATTATAATTCAGGTGCAAAATATAATGATGTGGATCTAAATAGGAATTTTAGAACTCAAAATAAAGATAATTGCAGTTTATTGAAATAATTTATACAAATTTGGGTTAGTATATACTTAGTTATAAAAGAAGTTATATTTTTCCACTTTACAATATACAACATTACAAGCTTCCACATGTTTTAAAGAATTTTCCAAAACTGGGGTCAAATTTAAAATCACAAAGTTAGTCTTTTCATCTTGTTAGAAAGCTAAACAATAAAGTTAAGGCATTTAGTTAGTTTAGCACAGAAAAAGTGTATTTCGATGTGAAATTTTTGTACCAATAAGGAAGTTATTGAACATGTTTATTTTTTTATAAACTTGATTGAAATGATCACAGTTTTTGAAAAATCTTACTCATATTTTATGTTGGTCATCCATAGTTATTATAAGTAGGTATTTTAGGCAAGAACCAAAACCAATTATATATTATACAATAGTTAGTAACAGACATTTATTGTTATATTTTATTATATTATGTATATCTAATTATTATTGTTATGATGCTGTGATTTTTCTGCTAATTTACAAATTTTATCATCTATTTTTGTTTGTTTCTTTCTATAATAAATTATTTTTTCTGTTGCATATTATCTTGTTTTATACTGTCTACCTGTATTCCTAATTAGTAAACCGACAATGGCGATAATCGACAATCTATTGTAAGTATTTGCAAAATTGGTCAAAGACAATAGTCATATATTATCGTTGTTGAAACTATGAGATGAATAGTATTGAAATAGACTTAAAACCTTTCGTGGTTTTCAATGCAAATTTGGACCAAAAATACGAATTTTTGCGACATTTAGGCCTGTTGGATGGAATTTAATTAAAAAGAAGTGAAAAACAATGAAAAATGCTGTGGAATAGTTATTTACATTACAAGTGCATTTATGAACATGATTACAAAGCACTATTCCAAATATAGTGCTAAAATGTTTTCAATAGTTTTATTACAAATAGCTTTCACGTCATTGCTTTCATCTCATTCCTGTCTTCCATGTAGGGCAAAGCTGGTAGATTTGGCAGCAGCGCCGATATCATTGAATCATTCAATTTTGTATATCCGGAAAGCTCCAGATAACGAAATTTGAGAATAGGGTAGAGTGGGGCAGGTTCGGACGGATTTGGTTAAGGTGATACCGAACTTTTATTTTAGCTAAACTAATTGTTCTAAAAATGCAAATATATTGCTTCATATGTTTTTAAACCAATAAGCAATTTCAGAAAAAACTTGCACCGTTTTTCGTGAATATTAAAATAAAAAAAAGTTGTCATTTGTCCGAAGGTGCCCCACGGTGGGGCAGTTTTGGACACGCATGGGGTAACTCCGGACATATACTTTATAAACAGTTTATTTTTTGACAGGTATATTTTGAATAATTTAGCATCTATCCAAACATCAAAACTCATAGTCTAAAGGAACTCCAAACATACAAACCTATAAACTTTGGCAAAAGCCTACAAAAATAAATAATATAAAAATAACAAAAAAAAATAATGACAAAAAAACGGAAATTAAACATGTTTTTATTATTAAAGTATAAAATAATTTATTTAAGATTGAAAGCACTAAAATGTACGTTGAATTTTAAAAATTTAGCCATGCGAACATTCCCAGCATGAAAAGTTGATAGTCCGAATGTGCCCCACCCTGTAATGTCCGTATGTGCCCCACATGTACAAAATGTAAAAAAAACTAAAAAAACTGACAATCATGTCTTGTCGATTCTTGAAATATAGGTTATGTGGTGTGAAACTATCATACTTTGCACGCATACCCCTTTAAAATTTAAAAATTACATCACCAAATTGTGCAAAACCTTACGAGTACAGGATATAATACTTGGTTGGGGTCACTATTTATGTATTTCTGGTGATCACTCCCAAATTTTTCAAGATACCGGCCCAAAATTTTGTCTGGCTATATAAAGCAGGCACTGCGTACCAATACTGTTAAAATCCCGAAACGCGTTAAGTTTTGGAAGGCGGTAAATTCAAAATGTCCGGAGGTGCCCCATGTCCGAACCTGCCCCACTCTACCCTACAGGTTAAGCGGGTTTGAAAGAGATTCAACCGTTCCGGTACTTTTTACCACCCCTGTATAAATTAATAGCCCCTCTTATGACATGGTAAGTGCTAATGATTCACCAAATATCTCGGCGACCTCGGTGTTTCGAGAACAGAATACCTTTTCCACCTAGGTGAGGAAACTTAATATAATCATGTTTTGCTCTCAGAATGGTTACCTATACAGAGTGTCCACTTAGTGCGTGTTGAAATTTCATTTCAACCCGTTGCCGCCGCCGCTGTATTTAAAGTTAAATTTCTTTATATTTTTATTCCTACTATAATCTGCTGTTTCTACGTTTCTACCCGATTTTCAAGGGAACGTGCGTATGCCCAAGCGCATCGCAAAAGTAGGTCAAGACTGGAGGTGGAGAGTACCTACGAAGTCGAAGTTTTTGTTTGCCTTGAGTTCTCACTTCTAGTCAGAGATCGTAACGAATTGCAAGGGTTGTTTTGTACCGCTTTTTTCTTTTCTCCAAATGGCCCGATCGTGCGCCTGAAATCAACCTTTTCTTTCTCTTCAGTTTTCTATTGTTTAATTGCTGTTAATTAACCAATTATTTGCGTTAAAGTGAACGTTCCATATACTTATTTAAATATGCAATGTTCTTCAGAATTTGTTACCTGTTTTCTGTAAATAGTTGTAAATAGTCGTTTTTCGTTCAAATTAAAATAAAAACACTTTTCATAATCAAACCATCGTGTTTCCTTGAACCTGGATTTACGAACAAGAATTAGCACGGCATTGGCAGCATTCTACCACAGATTCTACTCTTGAAAAATAAATAAATGTTGGAAACCACAACATTTAATGGTCCTTCGAGCCGGATTTGAACCTCCACATTGGAAATCTTCATCGTACAATTTGGAAATCTTCGAAGAGCTGGAAATCTTCGAAGAGCTGGAAAATTGGGTGAGAAAATTCCAATTTTACTTTGAACTTTACTTGTGCAATAGGTACCTACGAGTGCTACGTTCTTGCAGCAAAGACTCAATTCGAGACTCAATTAGGTACTATACCAATTTGTTTTAGACAAAAGTGTTTCTTTCAAAAAACAATTAAAATAAAGTGTCGCTATTTTCTAGTTAAAACTTAATAATATAAATTTTTCCTATTATATTATTTTATATTTTCAAATTTTTGTTAATAAGTTAACTTTTGATAGTTATTAGCAAGTATTTTAGTAAAAATGGAAACACTTATACGCAAAAAAGGTCATTGCAAAGGCCGTCTTACAAGAATTATAAATTGGTTAAAATTTAATGACAATTTACTTGATATTGAAAAGCTTAGCACTCGTAAAACTGCTTTAAAAGATATTTTGCAAACATTTAACTCTATTCAAGAGGAAATTGTTACCTCTCAAACTGAAGACCTTGATGATGAAGACATAGAAGGTTTGATTTTAGACGCCATATCGTTAATTAATACGCAGGTAAAATTATTACAAGGTCTTCAACAAGTTTCTCCTCAACTCAAAGTTTCTCAGCAACCTCCAGTGTTGCCTCAAATTAATTTCAAGCTCCCTGACATATCAATAAAGCCTTTCAGCGGCGTATCTTCAGAATGGCAATCATTCCATGACTTATTTGAAAAATTGATAATTAATAATTCTCAACTGGACAATCTCCAAAAATTAATTTATTTAAAAAGTTATCTAAGAGACGAAGCTCTCAAATTAGTTGACAAGCTGCAGCTGGTTGAAACAAATTTCGACATCGCTCTCGACACGTTGAGAGAGCGATACGAAGACAAATACACAATTATAGATGCTCATTTGTCAAATTTATTTGAAAATTTACCAAGTTTAACCAAGGTTGACAAAGATAACTTACGCGACTTTCTAACTACTGTAAAGCAAAATATTAGTGCTTTAAAAAATCTTGGCGTACCCATCGAACAAAGTGACCTAATATTAGTTCACATTTTTTCTAGAAAGCTAGATTTCAATATACGAAAGGCATATAGATTACAACGCGATATGAAAATACTGCCAACTTTGGAAGATTTTTTGTCCTTTTTAGAAAAACATTGCCGTGTTTTGGAGGACCTAACTCCGTCAAATTCAATTGCAATTAAGCACAGCCCAAAACCAGTCAAAAAATTATCATACCTTTCAAGTACGCCAAGCTCTTCTGATGGCAATAAACCAATGACGCACATTACTCAAAAATGTACCTACTGCAAATTGGACAATCACAACATTTATAGGTGTCTAAAATTTAAAGGTACTTCAAATAATAATAAAATTCAATTTGTACTTAATAACAATCTTTGTCAAAATTGTTTAAACAATCACAATATTAACAATTGCCAATCAAAACATCGGTGCATTGTATGTGGGGCATCACATCACACAATGTTACATGGTTGTCAGGTTTCTTCAAATTTTCAAAATTCTCATCGAAGATATTCGGAGAGAAATTTTAATAACAATAATAATAATCGTTTCGGAAGTAATAATTCAAATTCTCGCTCAAACAACGAAAATACGCGCACATTGGAGAGTTCTCGTAATGATGACAGTACCTCGGCTCATTGCAGCAACCAAAATAGATCACAATCTGGCGATCAACCTCGTAGTGACGTTGAAAATCGCAAGAATCAAAATTCCATGTTGGTCTCAGATAGTAATAAAAACCCTGATTACAACACCAGTTTCGAAAATACCACTAGCTTTTCAGCATTTTCAAAACAACAGGATCATGTTCTTTTGTCAACAGCAATTGTCACAATTTATAGCTATTGTGGAGAGCCTATCCAGGCAAGGTGTCTCTTAGACAGTGGATCTCAAACATCATTCTGCACCAAGGAATTGGTTCAAAAACTAGGCTTAAAAACATTTTTCAAGTCCTTACAAATCTCCGGAGTTTCTGACAGTTCGATCAGCTCCACACAAATGATCAACATAAACTTTCACTCTCACTCGAATCCACAAAAACAATTTCAAATATCCTGTGCAATCTTGGACAATATAACCATCAATCTTCCACAAGTGACACTCAGCGTTGAACACCTCGGAATTCCTAATGACATTACCCTTGCGGATCCTCGCTTTTATCGCAGCGCAAAAATTGACATGCTCTGTGGAGCAGATATCTATTACGATCTATTAGTTCCAGGTATGATTCATTTGGGCAAAGACAGACCTACCCTATTTAATACTCATTTAGGCTTCATAGTCGGGGGAAAAATTGGTCTCATCCAAAATCCTTCTCAAACATTATCGTTTATGTCTGTAGTTTCTAACAATGTCAGTATGCTTTCTCGTATTTCTCAAACTAGTGATATTTTGGAAAGATTTTGGTCACTAGAGGAAATTGATACAAAATCTATTCCTTCTCCGGAGAATCAACTTTGTGAGCAAATATTTAAAGACACAACCCTAAGACTTCCCAATGGTCAATTCCAAGTTAATCTTCCTCTCAAGAGTCCCAACGAGCACCTAAAACTTGGCGATAGCTTTGCGCAAGCCAAAAGACGATTTTTTCTCCTAGAAAAAAGGTTTGAGAAAAATCAGAG